TTATTGGATACCCATTCGAGAATAATTGTTTCCAAGTCCTTATTTATGTTGATAACATTTTTCCCTTGTTCGTTTCTGATTTGCCTGGTTGGTATTGGAGCCCTGGAAGAGAAGGCGGTATGGAGGGTATACTATCATCCGCGAAGCTGTGTACTGGACATGAAGTAGCTTCCAACAAATCGTTGATATGAAGTAGAAATATTGTTGGTGGTAGAATTGATCCTTACGGAACACCAGCATTTATGATAAAAGAGTCAGATGAAACTCCGTCGACCACTTCATGGAGAGACCTGTTTGAAAGAAAACTAGCTAGCAGAAAACATAGCTGGGGTCAGGCAAGCCACAAGATGAAAGCTTGGCGAGAAGTCCGTGGTGCCAGACTCGATCGAATGCTTTTTCATGTATTCATCTTTTGAAATCTTGATGAAAGCAAAAAATCTATAGTATCTTAACAGATGGAATTATTGTGATATCAGATACGGAAATAAAATTGATGACAAACAAAGTACCTCATTGATGTATCGAACACAGTGAAACAAGATCAATTTTGTGTTATAGCTGTAGAAAAACATGTTTCCAACTATACCTATTTGATATCAATCAATTCTTCTTCACATAATAATAAACGTTTCCAAATGAGTTATTTTCAATGTATTTTCAACATCATCAGTTCGCGATCAAACGACCAGTATACTAGAAGTTATAAAAATGTGAATTCCAAACGTTGAATAGTGGTTTAATAGTAGTTGTAGATCAACACAATGTGAGGAAATGTTGGAAATAAAACGTCTTAATAACGTGTTGATTTCTCGTTTTTTTTAGCCAAATTTCAACGCTGAAGTTTTCAACCAGTATGGTTATTCAAAGTTTTATCAACGAGTAGGTATGTGTAGAGACTTCACGAAAGATTTCCACAAATTTCTCGAACATACGACATGTTTCGCTAATACAGTAGCTTCGTCAGGTGATATACTGGTACAATGAACTAAATGAACTAACCTTGGCTTGCTTAACTTTTATATATCCTACTTTCCCAACCTGAAGGATTAATTACCTGTGGACAGATTCGATAAACCTTCATTTTCGTAAATCAGGTACAATATCTACATTAAATTAAAATACGGTGTATCAGATCAACTTGAAAGGGTTGTTTATATGCCATGGATTTCCATCAAATAACGGCCGGGTCAATTAAAAGAAAAAAGAGTAAGTATGTGTTTAGTGGGGTGTTGTTTCTTCCCCCTACTTCTACTTCACTGTGTTACTATTACATCAGCCGACTTATTGGCTCCTAGTTCGGGCTCCTCTTTGAGACTCCCAACTTCCTCGAGAAATTGCGGTCTGAAAGGGCAGTTAAGACAGGGTGGTTGGGCGGTAGGGTTAGTCCTGGAAGAGCGTCTGTTTTCAAAGAGCAAAGCAAATTGCCCTCTTTAAAAGTCAATTAACTTCGCAGTTTCGTTCGCTTTTTTCTTGACTATCTGAATGATGTATGAGCAGTACAAAAAGGAATCAAAA